GATTAAAGTTGTTTTGTTGTTGTCTTTTCTTTGGTATCTGTACACATGCCGATGAGCATATAATATGTACTATTATATGCCTCACTTAAGAAATCCAGCCATCTGATTGGTCGAAATTGGATTCATAAACTTTAACTATTCCGGTAAAATTCCCGGTAAAATTCCAAACCCATGTAATAGTTAAAAAAAAATAGTTGTAAAATCCCAGTTACCATGGTTACTGGGAAAATAGTTCAGTCTTGGTGAAATACCCTTAGGTTCACATGTTAAAAAATGGTCTGAGCGATCGAGGATACCGTATGTGTGCGATGAATTGGTCGGTAATTTCAATACAATTGAATCTCGATCGATCTTACCGACAATTTTATCTTGCATTGTTGACATGAAGACGAAAATAAACTTCCAAAAACAACATCTGCCGATAGATCTTGATCTAAGTTCGTGCCAATGCATTGCAAAAGTAAAAGAAGGGCCTGTTTAATGGAGCTGCCGCGAAGCATCCAGCATGCGAAGCCGTTTTCAATCCATTTTAATGTATACATAAGAGAAAACTGCTAGGTTTGGTATCAGTGCGCGATGGCCAAGAGGTATAAGGCTGTGATTTTAGTCACATCATCGTTGGTATGCAAGAGATCGAATCCCATCTTCGACAAAAAAAAAAAAAAAAAAAAATTATTTTTTAGTCTACTAGCTCTCAAAGATACACTCATAAAAATAAAAAACCGTGCAGATAAACTAGATAAAGGCCAAGGTGGTGTTGACTCTTTTTTTTTTTTGGCACATAAAAGTATTAATGACTGCTTTGCGAGAAATAGTTGTTTTTATACGCTCAAGGGAAGGTTAGAATTGTGCTATTGCCCGAGGCGTTTTTGTAACCTTCTCGAGAGCGTATAAAAACAACTATATCTCGCAAAGCAGTCATTAATACTATACTGTGTGTGCATGTATCTATGTTTGTTCATATTTGTTTACATAGGATGTGCATTCTTATTTGTACAGAAGAAATATTAAAGAAAGAAGTCATATTCTAATTGTCTTAATGAACATGACATACATCTGCTATGAGTGATTCTGTTCAATGTTGGATTTTTTAGGTATTGCTAGGGTGTGTAAGTGGTCTGTGCCGGTAACTTCATAGAAAAATTCTTAGAATATGATGATGATGATGATGATGATAACTTTATTTGATGATGATGATTTTGATGATGATGATGTTGAATGGTGATGATTTTGAAGATGATGAAGAACACCTGTTTCTTATACAGCACTTTACCGTTAACTGACCAAAGCGCTTTACAGTATTTTTATTACCAAGGGCACTGGATTCAATTACTACATATACTAAAATGCGCATTAAAGTGCACATTCTCAGGGCAATCCTGGGGGGTGGGGGGCGTTTCACAAAACTTGTCATCAGTGACAAATGTGATAAGCTACTGAAATCCTTGCTTCTGATTGGTTATCAGCAGATTTGTCACTGATTGTTGTCACTTGTCATTGAAAAAAGGCCTTGTGAAACGGGTCCCTGATGCGGTTTTAAAATCACAATCATTAAAGACTGAAAAAAGGCCTTTGATAAGAAAGATACTTGTATGAATTTTAAGTGACGAGCGAGCACTTAAAAAGTTGCTCTTAGTCGCTTTAAAGGTACTATGTCCCTTTTGCAGCCAACCTCAAATGCTGTAGAACTTTGCAGGAATTATGAATTTGTCATGTATGTCCTATCTGTGAAATTTAAACGTTAGCCATGTCCTCATATTCAAATTATGCAAGGAAACCCGTTTACTTGCTAGACTTCACTGTCAGACACTATTGAGTTGCTGACTGGCTTTTTTTCTTCTTTGGTAATAACAAGATTCAAGATTCAAGATTCAAGATTTTATTGTCCATAATATAATACAGAAATTTGTTTTCCATTGGTATAACATGTAATACATAAAACATAAGACAAAAACATGGTGTCGTGTGCTGAAAGCCAGAGGGGCGTCAAGACTCTATAAGAAAAAGTATGTGAGCAGGTACGGTTCTCCGGCTTTCAGCACAAAACATGACAAGATAGTTATATGACTTATACATAGCAAGAATTTTATATACAATTCTGAATCACATCATGAATAAATTCAGGTATGAATATAGATGTGAATATGAGCAGCATCACAATCGAAATACGAGCAGAAAGATAAAGGAAAAGAGAGCTCAAGCTCGAAGGACTGATAGAAGAGAGAAATATAGGGAAAGTTGGTAGGGGTCCAAAGGAAAATGGGAGAGACAGAGAAGGAGAGATGGCATAATTTCCAATCAGATTATAATGCATGACATAAATATACAACAAAAATCAGCAGCAGAGCTAAATAACACACATGAAAAGAGTTGTAAAGGGTACATGAGCATTTGTCTACATCAATAACCCATTTCTTGTGATGGCCAAGATTAAACTGATTGAATCTTTGCGCGGCATAAAACATATGACCATTCGGTACTGAAAATCAAGACTATTACTTTTGGGCTCTATAGTCCTAAAGTCGATTTGACAACTAATAGTCGTTATTTTCCCACTTGAAGACGTTTTCAAGCCCCACCTTTTTTTTAGGGAAGTTCTAAATTAGTATTATCTTTCAAATGCAGTTGGAATTTAACTTTTTCATTTTTTGGGCCTGCAAATGGGACATAGTACCTTTAAATTAGGAGCACATTTTATGGTGTAAGGAAAAGGGGGCACTCATCCAAAGGGAAAAGTACACTTGTTAGAAAAGAAAAGGAGCATGTGTTAAAATTAAAATATGAGAATTATCAGAGGTGAAAATGGGGCACTTCTTGCACTTAATAAAGAGATGAAAAAGGCACTCATTACAAACTTAAAGAGGGCACCTCTCAATATTTGAAAAAGGGCACTCACCGGAGATTAAAAAAGGGGCACTTGTAAGAATGAAACAGGGGCATGAAAAATAAAAGAGGCACTTGTCAAAGTATACGGGGCACCCGTCAGATTTGAAAAAGGCAATTATAAGAGGTAAAGAGGCACTTATCAGAGGTAATAAGGGACACTTCTTGTACCTGAAGATTGTTACTCACCTGAGATGAATAGGGGCACTTGTGAGAATGGAAACTGGGCACTTATCACTGGAAAGGGGGCACCTATCATATTTTAATAGAGGCATTAATCAGAGGTGTGAGGAGGGGCATTGGTGAGAAGGGGCTCTTATTAAAAAAATAAAATGGACATTTATCAGAAGGAAAAGGGCACTTGTTACAGATAAAGGGGCACCTCTCCTATTTGAAATGGTGCAATAATCATTGTTGAAGGGGGCACTTATAAGATTGTGGAACAGGCACCTATTAGAAATAGCTAGGGCCCGTCTGATCTGAAGTAAAAGATGCATCTTTCTATGTAAAAAGAGGGGGCAATTTAGGGGTAGGCCTACTTGAAAAAGTGGGGGAGGGGGCAACCTCGCTATTTGTAAAATAATACTAGAAACATATTTTAACTTTATTAATATGTGTTCTAAACAAATGAAATCTAACTACTGATAAATTCTTAATATAATCGGTTTTGAGTTATGAAACTAAGATTAATGAAAAAACAAGACAGATTTTATATTTTAATCTAACACATAGATCTAAGTTGAATTTTGAAGGCTAAACGAATATGATAGCTTAGCAAACGACTGCCATGTTGCTCATGTAGTCATGACAGTATATAATACATGTAGTCCATTTGCCTAGCCCAAAACATATTTGTACATGAAGGCCTTTACGTGCACGTTTGAATTTAAGGCAATAACAAATAAGTATAAAGTGATTTGTTGAAGATACTTGAATTCCAGATAAATTTTAATATGAGAAGTAACACCTATAATGGGGAACTTTTCTGGTCTTCCTGAGAAGTTCTGGGGGTGTTTCACAAAACTTGTCATCAGTAACAAATGACAAATGACAAATGACAAAATAACATATGTTATAAGCTACTGAAATCCTTGCTGATTGGTTATCAGCAGATTTGTCACTGATTTCTGCAATTTGTCATTGAAAAAAGGCTTTGTGAAACGGGTTCCAGGTTTCTAATCCCTGTGCACAATTTACATTAAAGCTTATCTGCCATAGTTTACAGGAGCGCCCTGCAAGGGGGAGGCTTTCTTCTTTATCTTTTCTCTTCTCTTTTCTTTTCTCTTCTTGTTTCCTTTCTCTTCTCCTTTCTTTTCTCTTCTCCTTTTTTTTCTCTTCTTCTCCTTTCTTTTTTCTCTTCTTTTCTTCCTCTTTTTTTTCTTCCTTTTTTTTGCGCCGCCAATAGGGGGGGGGGGGGGGGCCGCGGCCGTTTCGGCCCCCCCCCCTGGATCCGCCACTGGGCACTTATCAGAAGTGAAAATGAGAAGGGGCACTTTTCCAATGTAAAAAGGGGCACTTCTTAAAAAGTTAAAGGGGCACTTTTCCTTAATTAAGAAAGAGAGGCACTTTTAGGGCACTTAAAAAAATAGGGGGTAGCTGTGCCTCCCCCCGGGAGCGGCGCCTCTGCACTTGTTTGTGTGGTTGGGTCTGCTCATGCAGAGTTAGCTATAGGGGGGGGGGGGGGGGGGGAGTGGAGGTTATAGGGAGTATAGGCTGGATCTTCAAATATTTGGGGCTGGAGGTCGGAGGGAGGGGGGGGGGGGATGGGGGTAGGGGTCGTTGGTTTTGAACATCTTAATTGAACCCTGGGAATTAATTGAACAAACCGCCAGACGGTTTATCAATTAACAATAGCTAAATCACACAAACCTTTGACACGAAGTTGTTGTTATTGGTAACAGTTTCTTTTAAAGGAAAATCAGTCAGGCCTATCCATAAAGAAAACTGAGAATAACAATTTGAAATGATTTAATTAATTAATCAGTAACGCGATTTGTTAGGAGTCTCTGGATGGTTTGCAACTTCGTATTTCTGCTTTTTGTATACGTTTAATCTGGTCAGCCGGGTCAGCCGGTTTTGATTGCATGGAAATCTAGCTAGCTTTGCCCGATTTGAAACGAGCAGTACTTCGTGCTGCTAGCTATCGGCCAATCATAATACAGCTTTCATATCTCACGGACCCACATCCGATTTGAAAACATTACGTCAAATTCACGGGACAAAATTACTTCGAAATCGGGTAAGCTGTAGTTTGTTAATAAAGTTAGTGATATTTAGGATATTTTCAGTTACCAGAACGCAACTTATTTGTTCTAGACATGAAATTAAGGGTTATTTTCATTGGAAAACCTGCAACGACACCATGTAAATTACGTTATCCATTCACTTTGCACACAGAACATGTCATTGAGTGTGCTGCATGATATCAGCTGTGTACAGAGTGCAATGCAATTGCAAGGGTGATTATGAATGAACATGAATTTGTGGCTGATGTGCATGTGCACTTGTTATTAAGTTTTTAACTGTTTTGTTCCTGAGATTGATAATTACCAGGCCTTTTTGTCTCTTTAACTCTAGTTCACTCCAGGGTTCGGGGTCGGAGCTCCACCCCAGTGCGAAATTTGAAAAAAAAATTAAAAAAAATCAAACGGCGCGATTGAGCCTTTTTAGTAGGGAGGCCAATGCCCGGGCGTAAGGCTTCTACACCTACGATTTGTGCGCTCGTCGCCCACTTCAAAAAATTAGCAAAGGGAAAAAAATGATGTAAAAATAAAAATTGAAGAAAATAAGAAAAGAAAATACAATTAGTCTATACATTTCACAACATACCTATAGATCTAATCACGGATCTGTAACAGTCTTTCACCATTTGTTGACAATCTTGCAGATTTTGACGTTTTTTAATCCAATAATTGTGGTTGCAGACGACCTTGACGCACTCGCACCACCGACTAAGAAAATCCTAGAGGGCGTAGAGGTTTGCTCACTAAAAACCTTCTCATTGGCAGAAGGTAGACCCTAAAAATATGGGATCCGTTTTGAGTAAAGAACTTTTGATAGAGATCAACATTTCAGATGTTCACAATTGCCACTTCTAACAACTAGAAAATATAAAGAAAAAAGATTATATCTTTTTACATACAGATTTTTACAAACTGAACATTCGAAAGTAGATAGAGTACGATGTTTCTGTCAATCTTGCGTTGGTTTGAGCCCTATAGGTACATCCATCTCAAAATGAGAAGGAAAACAGTGAACAGTGACGTCATTGTTCGCGCCAAAAATAAAGGGTATTGCGACATAATCTGAGCTCCGGTCAGATCGTGCGCAAAGCGTAGTCTTATTTATAGACCCTAGTACCTTATTCTCACAGCACTAGATACGAGTGTCGTGCAGTAATGTATGAGAAGTGTTAAAAAAGATATTTCAGTAAAAAAAAAAGTCTACGTGAGCAGTCTATACTCCAATTGAGAATTGAAATGAAAGCCATGATTTGAAGGTGTGTGTTGTATGATACATGGTTAGTGAGTGTGTATGTTACGTATAGCGAAAGGGAGAGAGAGAGAGAGAGAGAGTGAGAGAAATATTAGTACACGTACGTTGCATGCATGGATGTGCGCTATGATTGTGTTCGCTGCAAGATGGATGTTAATTGGACCTCGTAACTTCTCGATCGTTGATAATAAGGAATACTCATGAGGAAATCAAATTATTGGAATACACATCTAAGGTAAATATCAATGAATTATAAATATTTCTTTCCTGCCAATTTTGAAATCTATTCATCATTTTTGAACCATCGTCTTCGGCTCGTAGTAGACTCTAGTAATCGTTCGCACATTGATGGCTGGACTTCAGCCTGCATCGGGGCTTGCCTGTGTCGGTGGAGGGATCAACTAAGAAGAAGAAGGTACGTGTGCGACCGATTCAAGGCTAGCCGCTGTTGAGTGATTGCACTTTCGCGCGAAGTTTTAAACTTCATCATGAACTTTGTCCCTCGGGCCTGTCTAATTATGAACGTAACTCTGCGACATGAAATATAATTGTTTCAAGGCTCTTACGTACGGAAAGGCGTAGAAGGAAGCTCATAGGAACTAGCTGGATATCTCCTATTTGATGGAACTTCTGGAGTTGGCAGATGGGTGGATTTTCTTAGTGAAAGTAAATGCTTTCTTTTAATCTTAGTTTTAGTATAAACAAATTAGTAATTAAAAAGTTAGATTTGGGCATTGGCCTCCCTATTTTTAGGGCGACATTTTTCCCGAAGTGGGTAATGGTAGTATTACAAATTCAAACTTAGATCTACAGTGTGAGTGTTTTTGATTCCTCTGGGCATGTCGCACCACACTTGAAATTATAATTTGACAAAGTCTCCAATGGGAAAAGCCAAAGGGGTGATTCCTTGTCCTAAAACGAGCCATCCACTTGTATCGTCAACATGGCAAAGAGAAAGTACGCATGCGCGGTATTTAGCGGCGGCGCAGCAAATATGAATATTCATGCTATAGAGCGCCTCTCGCTCAAAAATGCTGAATATGCACGAGGTTGTGAAGGACCGAGGGACCTTCAAGTCGTGCATATTCAGAATTTTTCGAGCGAACATAATTACATGCATGCGGTAGACTAGACCTAGGTCTATAACTGCAGTGCAACACCAACACCGAACTTGAAATCATGAATTTCCCAATCCCTAGGGGCTGGTGATGGTGAATGGGAAAATTACACTTAAAGAGAAGGTTGAGTTCTGGGAAGAGGTGAAAATAATTTGTGAGCATTACTCATTCTTATTATGCAAGTGTGGAAGAACATCAGTTAAGACATGTTCCCTGAAAAGCATGGCTCTTCAAATGCCTTCATATTCTAAATATGCATGCAACATCGTAAAAATCGGGGGCCGGCTTTTTACGCCACGTGTTTGTGTAGTCCCATATACATCTTTCTGTGCAAGTGTTTGTAACTTTACCAAGACTTGGCCACATTTCTTATCATTTTGATGATTCCAGAACCTTGCAATACACACAAATTCTTATATGCTAGATGATCAACCCTTTCTGGTCGGCTCCACACCGTTTCTTTCACAATGCAATCGCATGACCAGAACTCAACTTCATCTTTAAATCGTTGACACCAACCGTGATACTCCGTTCAACAGACGACATTCAACACCAGCCCTCAACACAGACTACCGGAAATATGTCATATTTCCCAAGGTCAATCCCAACACCAGCCTGATTTCAAGTTCGGTGTTGTGGCTGGTGTTGGTGTTGTCACAACACCAACACCAGCTTTCAACACCAAACTTGAAATCACTCAATGGAGATGAAGCTTGCAATTCTTCTCAAGTAGCGCTGCAGCTGAGCAAACTAGTGCTGTGCACAATAGTGTAATGAGGTACCCGAGTACACTCCCAGGCTCACAGGCGAATACTCGAATATTCGGACGCCATGTTTTTTTATAATTTTTTTTAATTTTTTTTAATTTTTTTTAAATTTTTTTGAATTTTTTTGATTTTTTTTTAATTTTTGGATTTTTGGATTTTTTCCCTTTTTTTTCTTTTTTTGCCACTACCATACCACTCGGCAGTTTCTCAGGTCCCTCGCTGAAAACGCATGCAACTTTACTTTGAGTTGCAGGTGAAGGCGCCGATTTAATAAGAATAATAACAGTAAACAATGATGTTTTAAAAACCAAAGATGGCAGAAAAATCCATTTTCCTCCAAGTCCAAACAGAAATCTGGACATTTGGTCCCAGTTTCTGAAAGGTGAGTTTGACAGTGCTTGAGTTGGGAAACATTTTTACCGACTGTACCATGCCAGCGGACGCCGCTCTCCCTGGCACGGGTAAGCGTGGGCCTGGACATTTTTTTTTTTTTGCGGCCGAATATTCGGGTACAAGAAATCGTACCCGAGTAGTTGTCAACCGTGCGGGTACTCGAGCATTCGACTACCCGTCGCAGCCTTAGAGCAAACTAGCGTATGTGTATCGCGTGATGCAGCTGTTTAGATAAACAAAATGACTCTGCGAGTCTGCGTGTACCTCTTTTTCGTCTATTCTGACAAAAATTGGATGAATATTGCCTAGATTTTTTGGGGCTGTTTCGTTTCATCTGTGAGCAGGGCTTAAATTTATTTTTTGTCCATGGGGGCTCTTCCAATAAAAAAGAGCCCTGTGAGCCTTCTCACGGTGGCCCTTCTAGTACTGACAGGGGCTCTTTTTTCATACAAATTTCCATTGAATTGGTAGTATTTGGTACCCATGATACTCCTAAATTCTTTGCTATTTCTATCATAAATAGCAGGCATTATGCCTTATACACCAGCTCATAGTCTAAGATCATCAAGATCCCAAAGACACAAGTAGCCTGTGGTAAAATAGGGCTTTTTCATCTGCAGCACCCTGTCTTTGGAATAATGTACTGTACCATTTAATTTGAGAATCATAACTTCCTTAGAGACCTTTAAAGTGCGGGTTCATAGAAAATCACAAATATGTCAACTAATGTATCACTAAAAACTGGTAAGCTATTAACAGATGGCCATTGTACAAGTTTTAGGTCAACTAAATATCGGGTAATTTGTAAAAAATACAAATAAAAGTATAAAACCACCTCCATAGCATCCGGATATACAAGCGATTCGCCAGAAAATATAACAATGTTTTAATGCCGTCACAATATGAACCAACCCTGCCTAAGCAGACGACATCCCATAAAGAATGAACATAATTGCAAATTTGCAATGCTTTTATTTCTCAAATTATAATGAGTTTAGTGTATATCAATGTGATGGAATTTTACACCATTCAAAAAGGGATATGACCCCCATTCTAATAACTAAATTCTTTTGTTTGTAAATACACAGGATAGGGGTTAATGAACAATCAAAGAAACCACATTTTCAAATTAAAAAACCTCCAGAATGATAGCATGGACGTCATTCCCTCTTGAAACGCTGAACATGCCGCGGTGTATGCAGCTGAAAATACAATGGCGTCTGTTTTTGTTTACAAGCGACGGATTCCTTTTTTTTATAAATCCTTGCATTTTTTATCAAAATAATACCATGCACGGGGTTTAAAGTGAGGCAATAGATTAAACATTTTTCCTGAGGGTATTGAAGTAAGAGAAATACCTGGAGAAAAGATGACAAAACAGGCACTGAAATTGTGTGAGATGTCATGGGTCATCGTCTGCTTGTGCATGTCATGTTCAACATGTGACGTCATATCTCAGCAGCGAC